GGGAGTTTTATGTGTTCCCGCCCACCTGGGAGTTTATGTGTTCCCGCCCACCTGGGAGTTTGTGTTCCCGCCCATCTGGGAGTTATATGTTCCCGCCCATCTTGGAGTTTATGTGTTCCCGCCCACCTGGGAGTTTTATGAGTTCCCGCCCATCTGGGAGTTTATGTGTTCCCGCCCACCTGGGAGTTTTATGAGTTCCCGCCCACCTGGGATTTATATGTTCCCGCCCACCTGGGAGTTTTATGTGTTCCCGCCCACCTGGGAGTTTATGTGTTCCCGCCCACCTGGGAGTTTGTGTTCCCGCCCATCTGGGAGTTATATGTTCCCGCCCATCTTGGAGTTTATGTGTTCCCGCCCACCTGGGAGTTTTATGAGTTCCCGCCCACCTGGGATTTATATGTTCCCGCCCACCTGGGAGTTTTATGTGTTCCCGCCCATCTGGGAGTTTATATGTTCCCGCCCATGTGGGAGTTTATGTGTTCCCGCCCACCTTGGTAATTTTTTTGTGTTCCCGCCTACCTGGGAGTTTATGTGTTCCCGCCCACCTTGGTAATTTTTTTGTGTTCCCGCCTACCTGGGAGTTTTATGTGTTCCCGCCCACCTGGGAGTTTTATGTGTTCCCGCCCATATTTCGGTGTTGTCACCTCCATTGTTACAATCTCTATAACAGCTAATAAATTAAAGAATGTAAAAGGGAGATGGGAAGGGGGGAGGGGCACGGTTGCGATTGCCTAAGCAGGTAATAGACCGGCTAAATCAGAGCCAAAGAAAGAGACAGAGGTCTCACTGCCGAGGTCCCCGAGAGATCTGAGAAACTGTTATGTGAGTTCATTTTCCAGCAACCAACATTCTGGATGGAGTGACCCTTTAATACATATGAACTCCGGCATCAGCACATGCTGTCCTCATACAAGAGCCATGTGTATTCTTCTTGGATCTCGGGTAACTGCCCCACCATGTGACACTGATAAAGCCTGGAGATTGGTCACTCAGGGTCACCTGGGGCAGGTCTCCCATACCTGATAGTGTGTCTTTAAGGAACCCGAATCCTGAACTATAGTCCGATCTGTAATCAATGATTTTGGATGATGATTGGCTAATGAGCGCCCGGGACACACCGAGGACCTCCGCCGATGTGCCTGCGATGTGTACCAATCCTCGGCAGAGATCGCTGGGACGTGTAAGGGTTAAGAAACGAGCAACAACAAGCAGTTCTCTGTTGTGTCTCACAAAGATTAAGACCCCGAGCTCAAGACCTCCGTCTCCAGCCAAACCGCTAAATACAGAGCTGAGCCGCGTCTGCGGGGGGGAGAGACTTCTGTGCCAGATGTGTCACTGCCCCGCCCACTTCCCAGCTGTTTAGATTAGTAATCAACATCAGGACTAATAATTATCAGAATTAACCAACATCAGGACTAATAATTATCAGAACTAATCAACATCAGGACTAATAATTATCAGGACTAATAATTATCAGAACTAATAATTATCAGAACTAATCAACATCAGGACTTATAATTATCAGAACTAATCAATATCAGGACTAATCAATATCAGGACTAATCAATATCAGGACTAATAATTATCAGGACTAATCAATATCAGGACTAATAATTATCAGGGCAAAACAACTCAGTAACAAAATCTCCCAATAGTGGCCGGCTCTGCATTTCCCATAGATCGACCCATCAGTCAAATATCAGCTTTGTGTGGACTGGCCCTTTAACGGACTGAACCCCAATGGCGGACGGGTAGTCAGGGCTCCGGGTAGCCGTGTGAATATCGCGCAGATTCGCTGCTGTGAAGATTGATACGTTTTTCATTTCAAGTGGATCTATGGCCAAGATCTTTTCAGGTTTGGGAGGCGTAGCAAAGGGTCTGTCTGAGGTTTCTGGGTGTCTGGGCCCTCGCTGGGGACATTCAGACTCTCCATTACTCCTGGTGGTCACTGTCACTGAGACAAAAAAGTGATGGGAAATCCAGGTTGCCACTAGAACAGGAAGTGATCTACTCATTGCGGGTATCTCTTTCAGCGGGGATGTCCGCTGAATTCAGAGGGAGTTTCTCTCATTTCATGTTGTGTCTCCAGAACAGGAGGAAAGGGGAAATCTTCCCATTGGGGCCGACTGTCAGGGGGATGTCCCTTCCATTTGGAGAGATTTTCTCTCACTTCCTATTGCATCTCCAGAACAGGAAGTGAAGGGAAATCTCCCCACAAAAAAAACTGACAGGGGTTTTTAAACCATTCCCTACTCTCCAAGTAACACTTTCATCATTGAACATCAGAAGCGCCGTACACACATGGCATCAGTCGCGGGTAACGCCAGGCACCGGATCACGCCAGGAAATAAAAGGGGGCACAAGGGTTAAAATCCCGACCACAATCTACATCACGGTAAAAATGCACAGCAGACAGAGGAAGGTGTTTTTGGTCTTCTCAAAGTTCATGTAGACATTCCGCGACGCTCGGCTTTCCGGTTACTGTTTCACAGCGAAGATGCGGAAGGATTTTCCCTCTTTCCGATTCTTGAAGCTGCAATAAAAAAGTAACATTTAGTTGTTGCTGGAAAACGTTGTGCGCCCAGCACCCAAAACTCCAAGCGTCAGCTGAGCCCCTTCCACCCAAAACTCCAAGCGTCAGCTGAGCCCCTTCCACCCAAAACTCCAAGCGTCAGCTCAGCCCCCTCCACCCAAAGCTCCAAGCGTCAGCTGAGCCCCTTCCCTCCAAAACTCCAAGCGTCAGCTGAGCCCCTTCCATCCAAAACTCCAAGCGTCAGCTGAGCCCCTTCCACCCAAAACTCCAAGCGTCAGCTGAGCCCCTTCCACCCAAAACTCCAAGCGTCAGCTGAGCCCCTTCCATCTAAAGCTCCAAGCGTCAGCTGAGCCCTTTCCACCCAAAACTCCAAGCGTCAGCTGAGCCCCTTCCACCCTAACGCTGAAGTTTAATCTGCTTGTACGTTGCTTTCCCTACTTTTTGGTAAACTGGTGATCTGGGAACCCTAAGGGGGTGTAGGAGGGCGAGGGGGGCGCTTTTCTCCCCCTTTCCTGCCCCGCCTGACCAGTACTTGGATTAATAGTCTGGTAGGAATTTTAGGGGGGACCCCATGTTTTTTTTTTTCTTTTGGCATTGGGGTCCCCCCTAAAATTCCTACTAGACCTAAAGGGTTCGGTATTATTTGGGGGGGGGCACCCCACGCTGTTTTTTTTTTAAAATAATTATATTTTTTAACAATAATCGGGATTTTGTCTGCTTTGGCTGTGCGTTCTCCCCACTCCGGCTGTGCGTTCTCCCCACTCCGGCTGTGCGTTCTCCCCACTCCGGCTGTGCGTTCCACTGCTGTATGGGTTATTATGAATAGAAGGGTTTCTGCGCCAAAGCAAGCCGGACGTGTGGACGGAGGAATCTCCCGCTGGGCCAAGCTTCAGTATCTTGCAAGTCGGCCCCCAGGTGGCTACCAATACCTGAACAATCTGATTGGATGCCAGCAAGATACAGAAGCTTGGCCCAGCAGGAGATTCCTCCGTCCACACAGCTTAGCGTAGATGGAGGAATCTGTTGCACTTTTTCCATCTGACCAGAGAAAATCTGCAGACAATCTCTAGGTGTATGGCCAGCTTTACTTTAGCATGGCTGCAGTGTTCTCTGGGTAGAAATCGCTTCACTGACCGCTCTGAATTTGTTGGCTGAAATTTCTTTTCTCCAACAAAAACCACTTCACAGCGTCAGACAAAAATGTGCTGAAATCCCTCCTCCTCCTCCTCATCCCCTGTAATACGTCCTCCTCATCCCCTGTAATACGTCTTCCTCATCGGGACACATAATCCGAATTTCCATCTTTAATCCCAAAATGACAGACGGAGACGACGTTCCGCTTATCTCAGAAACCAAACCGACTGATCTCTGGTCTGCAGAACGCCGAGCCGCCTCTGTCTGCGATGGTGGAGGGAGGTTCAGGGGCAAAACTTTAACCCCTCCAACATATCTGAGAGGCGGGGGGAGAGGGGGGGGGCTCAGTGGTGCTTTTACTCCCTCTG